AAGGGTTCGCTATATCAAGATTTGACTGTAATAGTTTACTATTAATACCTATAAAATTTAATATTTGATTTCTTTTAATTTTCATTATTTTTTTTATAAAATTAAATAATTTTAAATTTAAAAAAAATTATTTTATTTATTAAATTAATATAAAAAATTAAAATTTTTATTAAAATTTAATTTTTAATTTATTATTATTTTATATATATAAATTATAATAATAGTAAATTTATCAAAACTATTTTGCATTATTCTAAATTAGTTTTACTAATGTTTAGTTTTTAATTTTATCAAGTTTTATCAATTTTATAGGTTTTATCATACTTGATTTTTTCAAAATAAGTTTTAGTATTTCAGACATTATCATTAGTAAATTATATATATGATAAATTATATAAAATAATCACAAAAAAATGTAAAATAAAAAGTAGTAATTGTATATAATATTGATATTTAATATTAAAAGTTAAATTAGATTACATATAAAGATAATATATTTAATTATTTTATAAATTACAATACTGTTAAATTTATTGCTTAATTATATATATAAATTTGCAATATTGTGATTATATATGAAATTAATTAATTTATTTTAGATATCTAAAATGTTCAAAATATTTAAAATTGTTTTGATTATTAAAAGTCAAAAAATCAAAATAGTTAAAATAGTATTATATTCCACAATTTTTATATTGAAAAAAATCTTAAAATAAAACATGTATAATTATGGATAATATTGTTTTATTTGTTTGAAATAATTATTATTCAATTTCTTATAACTAAACAGATCTAATGTGTTGTGTTAATTCAAATTAGCTAATTTTAAAATAACTATAATTGAATTATTAGCTAAAATTATAATTCAATAAATTCTACTTAAAAAATAAAGGGTATAGATTTCAAAATTTAATTATGATTATCATAAAATTAACTGATTAGTAATTGATAAATAAGCTAATTAGTTTTGTTTATTTGTAAAAAATCAAATAATAGTTATTTTATTAAAAATAAAATATTATTAATAACTGAGATTATTTATTTATATTTTTGTTAGATTTTTTATTTATAATAAATTATATAATATAATTATTCAAAGTATAGCAGAGGATATTTTACTTCTAAGTTATTTAAATGTAAAGTCGTTCTGTCCGTTCAAATTTGGCAAGTCTGATAGACTAATAACATTTTGTTTACATTATCACATGTTATGTCTTTTGTATTACAAAATATTAATTATGTGAAATATGATATATGCTTCAGATTTTGAACGGATTCTGTTTTCTAGTAATATTATTTCAACTATTATAATTTTTATTTTGATTTTTAGGTTTTTATTTTGACTTCATATATAATTATAATATTTATTATTTAAATATATATATAAATTTGTAATGTTATAAAATTTATTACTTATTTTATAATAATATAATACTATAATAATTTTTTTTTAATAAGTAAAATTAAATATTATAAAGTAATTTTAATATTTTATAATTTTAAATTATTTATATTTAAAGATAGATTTATAATTACTAAATTGCAATTTTTTAGATTGTAATCTAAATTACTACTAAGTATAAAATCTTAATTTAACAATTATAATATAATTAATTATAACTTAAGAGACTGCAAATATTTCAAATCAGTTATAGTTAAAGCTCTGCATAAGCCAGCTTGAGCCAGCTTGACAATTGGCTTGAGTCAAAAATGTGACAAGCTAAGACAGCCTGCTTGGCTTGCGAGCCAGCTCGTTTGGCTCACATTATTACCTAAAAAATATTTCAGAGAGATTGAATATGCTTTGAAGAGAGTTTTCCTTCAAGATAATACCTTCTGAAATATTTTTCTTTAAGAGAAATGTCTTTAATATAATTCTCTTTAAGAGAAAATTTTCACAATGGATTTCTTGAAGAGAAACGTCTTTGAAACATTTTCTCTGAAGAGAAAATGTTTCTATAATGTTCTTCTCGAAGAAAATGCAACTGATGCGTTAATCTCAAAGAAAAATGCTACTGGTGCATTAAAATTAAAAGAAAAATGCTACCAGTACGTTAACTTTGAGAAATACACTTTTGAGCATAAATTAAAAAGAAAAATGCTTCTAAAGCATTTCCTTCAAATTTTAACGCTACCGATACGTTAATTTCTAAGAAAATTCACTTCTGGAGTATTTTTCTTTAAAGTTTAAGCTATGGTAGCATTTTCTTAGAAGTTTAATGCTAACTGATGAGTTAATTTCTAAGAAAATTCACTTCTAGAGCGTTAGATTTAAAGAATACGTATCAATAGTATTTTTCTTGAAAGAATACGCTCTGTTAGCGTTAAACTTCAAATTTTAACATTAATAGAGCGTATTCTTTCAAGAAAAATGCTCCAGAAGTGAATTTTCTTAGAAATTAATATACTGGTTAGCGTTAAACTTTGAAGAAAATGCTATTGGAGCATAAACTTTGAAGAAAAATGCTACTAGTGTGTTAAAATTTGAAGTTTAACGCTAACAAAGCATATTCTTTCAAGAAAAATGCTATCAGTGCATATTCTTTGAATCTAATGCTTCAGAAGTGAATTTTTTTAGAAATTAACGCATTGGTTAGCGTTAAACTTCAAAGAAATGCTTCTGTAATATTTTTCTTTAAAGGAAATGCTCCAAAAGCATTTTTCTTCGAAATTTAACGCTTTGAGTGTAATTTTCTTCGAAGTTTAACACTTCAGATGCATTTTCTTTAACTGAAACGCTTTTGGATTTTTTTTGAAAAATCCAAGCTGATGAGTCGAGCTGCATTACGAAACAAGCTATGGCATAAGCTAGCTTGACTGATTCGCAAGCTATTTTATTGTGGCTTGAGCCTTAGCAAGCTGACTTGTGAGATTTGTAAGCTAGTTCGACTTATGCAAAACTTTAGTTGTGGTATTATTTTTATTTATATTAAATTAAATATTTTATAAATAATTAAAATAATTATTAATGATATAATATATTAATTATAATTATTCAGAGCTAAGCGAAGGATAATTAACCATATGGATATACTCAATTTTATGTTATAACCTATATTTTCATTCCTTCTATCCACACATGTCACCTTATATTTCTACTTCTGCCTTTTTTTTGCTTTTTATATCATCTAATTATATCATATTTAAATATTTATGTAAATTCATATTTTATAGTTGTATTATATTAATCTTATAATTTATAACTTTAAACTTAATAATAGTTTATTATTCCTAGTAATATAAATTATTAAAATATTAATTATAATATTGCTTTTATTAAGAATACTTGCCTAAATTTATTTAAAATTTTATGATTATTATTATTAAAGTTTTAATAATAGTTTAATATATTTTCTTCAATTTTGATATTTACTATAATAATTTCATCATTTTGGCATTTCATCATAGTTTCAGCATAAATAATTATAAGATTTAATATAGTTTAAACAAAATTTCAACATTTAGCATTCCAAAAAATAGAAAATCCTCTAGTTTCTTAGCAATCTTAATTAAGATTACTGCAAATTTTTAATCTTTAAATTTATAATATATAATCAGAATTTGATATTATAAACTTTTTGGTTTATTATAAAATTTTAAAAAAATTTAATTTATCTAAATTTATAAGTTTTATATAATAATTTTTATATATTCGACTATAAAGCTAAAAAATATTTTAACAAAATTTTATTAAGTGATAATTATATTAAGATTTTTTATATTAAGTTCTAACTGTAATTATTCAAAAATAATTTAAATGTATTTTTAATTACATTAAATTAAAATAATACTTTTATTAATTAGATAATTTTCATATTATTTAAAGATTATATTAATAAATAATTTAAATTAATAAAAGAATAATAATATATTATTTTAATAAAATAATTATTATAATTAAATCTTGATATAGCGAAACCTTGATATAGCGAATTTTTAAATTAAATATATTAAATATACCTTATTATAATGAACTAGCCAATTAAATTCTTTAAAAAATTCATTATAAGCTTATAACAAAGTTGAGATTCAGACTTTATATTAAAAATTTATTGTATATTTTTTAAATAAAAGTATAATAAAATATTATTTATAAAATAATAATAATAAAAATAATTAAATAAAAAATTTAGTTTAATAAAGTAAACTTATTTAAGATTTATAATTAGATAATAATTAAATTAAGTTAAATAAATAATTAATTAAAATTGAATTAAAATTAGATATATAAATTTATTTTAAATAAAAAAAATTTTATGATATTAAAATTTATTGATTAAAATTTAATTAATTAATTAATTAATTTTTAATTCACAAATTTTAAATTATTTAATTTAATTTAATTATTATTTTACAATTATAAAATAAAATAATAAAATCTATTTATATATTTATATATATAAGTATTTTATTAATTATTAAGTAAATTTAAAATTATTTATCAAAAAAATTTATATTACTTAAATAATTATAAATCATTAAAATTATAAACTATTATTATAAAAAATTATTACATTATTAATCATTAAATAAATAAATAAATTTTGAATTTAAATTAAAACTAAATGATATGCAGTGAACTATTATTAGATTTAAAGTTCAATTATTTTGAAGATCTTTTTTAATTAAAGCAAAACTGGTATTTAAACAAGAAATAAAGAATATCTTATTTAATAATAAATTATACAGTTGTTGCCTTAACTAGGTAATGAGTTCTTTCATAAACATGTGAAGTTGTCTTTAAAAAGTAGCTCTTCAAATTTTTTGTTCCCCCCAAAAAACAAAAAAATTCAAATATTATTGATTTATATCCTCTGTTTCCGAACTAAAAAAACGAAAGAAATTAATTAATATTTATTCTAAAACAAAAATATGTCTGCTGATAATTCGATAGAATGGATAGAAAATTGTATAAAGGAAAAGCACATAAAATATTACGAATATGGTAAATTTAGTAATATAGAAGAAATAGGTAGAGGAGGATTTAGTACAGTCTACAGAGCGAATTATGGTGAAAAATATTTTGCATTAAAATCATTTAATTCAGACAAGCTCACTGTACAAAAGATTGTTAAAGAGGTATGTAGTTTGAGTGGAAGATGGAAAATTTTAAATTGTACCAACATCATTTTTTTTTTTTAGTTGAAATTACATCGAGAAGTAGATTTTCATGATAATATATTACGAATCTATGGTATAACTATAAATGATTCAGGTAATTACTGTGAATATTAAAAAAAATTTTTTTTGTATCTAAGGAATTTTCAATCATTTAATTATTTTATTTCCTTCCTTTTTTAAGACGAGGTAAAATATTTACTGGCGTTAGAGTATGCTGATGAAGGAACTCTTTGCAATTATTTAAAAAAGAAGTTTTGCGTTCTTAATTGGCAAGATAAATACAGACTGGCACTTCAATTATCAAGCGCAATAGAGTGCTTGCATGACGAAAAAATTGTACACGGTGATTTACATTCAGACAATATTCTTATACATGGGGGTTCAATTAAATTAGCGGATTTTGGATTAAGCAAGCGTATTGGAGATAATTCTAAAACAGAATTATTTGGCAAAGTTCCGTATATTAATCCAGAAAGATTTAGTGAATCAAGAAATAAAAGAAGAGAAACTTCACCGGGAAGAAATTCCATATCAAAAAAGGTTGAACTGCGTACGCAAAGTGATATTTATAGTCTTGGTGTATTATTTTGGGAATTATCTAGTGGAAAATTACCTTTTGCTGGCGAAAAGTATGATTTTGATTTGGCCATGGAAATTTCAAAAGGATTGAGAGAAGCTGTTATAGAAAATACACCTGAAGAATATTCTATTATTTACATAAGTAAGTGAGAATCTTTTAAAAGTTTTGTAAAGGTTAATTTTATTTATTTAATTTAACTTGATTTGATATGATTTAGGATGTTGGGATGGTAATGCAAGTAAAAGGCCAACGATTCAAGAAGTTATTAAAACTTTAAAAGCAATAATTTCATCATCAAAAAATACTCAAGAAATTATTATACGCATTAATTTAAGTAAAACAAATGATATTACTCCTAGTGAAACACAAAGATCTGGTTCAAATGAAATGATAACGACAGAATTGTCTAAAGTCATTAAAACTTTCCATGAAAGAAATTTAAATACTTCTTCGGCAAACGAATCATCGCCAAATAAAAAAGATTCAACCCCAGAAGAGACACATTGTAGTTCAGAAGTAAACAAAGAAAATTATGTAACTGGGACGAACGAGACAGCCAATGGTGTGTACAAAAAAGTCGCTAAAACAAATAACATGGACTTAATTGTTCGCGCAGATTCTATAGCGCAAACAGCTTCCACCTCTGATATAATGAGGTATATGATTGAGATTTTTAACGACGTTGCGGATTTATATAAGACGGCTCAACATTGTAAAAATATAACCAAAATTTTGATGGAACGTATTTTCGCTGCAGTTTCCGCAGTAATGTTACAAAGAAGAGAAGATTTGTCAAAAAATCATGTCGATTTACATAAATTAGTTCAAACCCTTCATAATATGAAAATATATATTGAAGAAATAATACAATATGACATTGTTCAAAAACATTTAGAAGATAAATCAATCGAAAACAAGTTTAAAAATTTATGCAAAGACTTTGATGATAATAATTTGTCATCATTCGCGATTGAGTTGAATACTAATGCAGAAAAAGAAGAAAAGGTTTTGGCAGATGACGTTAAGGAACTTTTAAAGTTTCAAAAAATATTTGAAGATTGTATAAGAATATGACAAGACAGTAAATATGTTTAGTAGGGATTTACGCGAAAATGCATTTCAATGCATTTCTTTTCGTGACACAAAATAAAAAAAAAGAATTGCTTATGATATTAATTCCATTAGGATAATTTCTATCTACAATTTTTTTTTTCCAAACGCAAGCAATATATTCACTTTTTTTTTTTTTTTTTTTGTTATAATTTATTTTTGAATAATAGAAGTAAAGACAAATTTTTTTATTAATCATAAATTCTGAACCGGTCGTAAAGACCACTGGTACAATTTATAAAAAGGATTTTTGAATTTTTCTGACAAATGTTCCGCCGAGCAAATTATTACCTTACGTACTATTCTCACGCCTAAATATTCTTTTTCAATTTCGACGAATGATAAGTAAAATAAATCTACTGTATATGGTAAATCAATTATCTTTAATAACTTTACCTCTAAAGGTTATTAAAGCGACTCATTTATAAATCATTAAAGAAATATTATTTCACTCTTTAAAAAAACTCGATATCGGAATATGGCAAATTTTTTAAATCTTAAATCAAAAAAAAATATCTCTATATAAAAGTCTAATTGCTGTAAATATTTTATTGGAGAAGTGTATTTAAAGTTGATCGTCCAATTAATTCTTTTCTGAGTTTGATTCGCAGTAGTGGCGATAAATCAGAAGGATATAAAGGATATAAGCAAATTGTGGGAGTAAATCTATTTGTATGGACCGGATGTTCTATAATCTTCTTTTGTAATCTCTTGGTACCAATTGACGTGATTAGATACTCAATAAAAAATATATTTTTCTTATTTAGGAGTAAAGGATAAATACTACAGATAATTTCATTTTAAATTGGTAGAGCTAAATTACTGTTATGGACTCGAATTGCAACTTTAACCGAATAATTTCCTCTTGTATCTTTAGAAGACTTGGAAGATTTTGGATATCTTCCGCAATTAAGTCATCACTTATTTTCTTTTTAGTTTTTTCCAGTTCTTCATAATAGTAACTATCATTAAATCGGATAAATTTATTTTGATCTTCCAAAAGTTTCTTTAACAAATCTTTCCCTTTTCTACCAAGTTCACTTTTAGAAATAATATCATTAACTAACTTATTTAGCTCATTTTCTTTAGTTTGTATTTTATAAAACAAACCATGTATTTCTCCTAGCCGTTGCTGATTTGTTTGCTGAATATCATTAATGTCAATGCTTTGTTGCTTGTATTCTTGTTGGATCTTACTAATAAGTGTTTCATTCTCCTTTAGTTGGATTTCGAGGTCAATCTTTTGCTGCTGATTTTCTTGTTGAAGTTTCTGAATGAGAATTTCTTTATCATTTAATTGAGTTTCGAGGTCATCAATTTGCTGTTCATTGTTTTGTTGAAGTTTATTAATGAGAATTTCTTTCTCATTTAATTTGATTTCGAGGTAATCAATCTGCTGCTGATTTTTTTGTTGAAGTTCATTAATGAGAACTTCTTTCTCTTTTAATTTAGTTTCTAGATCAATAAGCTGGTCTTTGGAATATTGCATATTCTCAACATATCTTTCTAAAACCTTTTTCAAGAAAGTCTTCTCCTCTTCGAGAGTTTTCACAGATTTTCTGACCTCATCGAGTTTTACCTTTATTTGATTGGATTCCATTAATTGTTTTTGTAATTCGTTTGTTTTTAAACTTATTTGTATCTTTAAATTATCCATTTTCTTTCTTAAGTCAGCTGTACTAGATTTTTCCTCATATTTTTTCTTGTTCAATTTATATTTGAGATTAGATAATTTTTCCTTTTCCATTTTAATATCTTTCATCGATGAGCTGACTCCAGATAGTTGACATAATAAATTTGCGATTTCATCTTCCATATTCTTCAGTTCTACAGTATTTTTTTCTAATTTCTTATCCAAATTCTCTTTAACTTTCCTTTTTCGAGCTAAGTCTTCTTTTAAATCATTCGCTTCTTTCTGTAATGTTTCTTTTTCCATTAATTGCTTTTCGGTAAAGGAATTTAATTCTTCCATCTTTTCATCTAATTCTAGCTTTTTCTGTTGATAAATAAGCTCTGTTTGTTTTATCTTAGCGTTCAAAACTTCGACATTTTGCTGAAAATTTTCTATATCTTGTTCCAATTGATTTTTTTTTGATTTTAATTCTTCTTGTTTATTAAGCAAATCTTCCCTTTTTTTTTCTAATTCTGTCTGTTGAATATTCAAGTCTTCATATTCACATAGCTTCTTAGTTAACTCCTCCAATTGGTCTTTTTCTTTCTCTAATTTAGTAGTCAAGATCCAGTTTTCTTTCCATGCTTTCAAATTATATCTACCAGCGAAGACGTCATTATCTTCAATAGCGAAAATCCTAAGATTTTCACATATCTTTTTGACTTTCCTTTCTTTCGCTGAACATCGAAAAATTTTAACACTATCGGGTAAGTATTCCAAGCCGGAATCAATATCGGTATTGTTTATGCTTAAACTTTCCAGATTGGTTAAGGTTTTCAAAGGTTCCAAACTGCCATGAAAACGATTATAAAGACTTTCCTCGCTATCAGTATCAGTATTTCCTATAAATAAATGTTTTAAATTAACTAATCTATTAAAACAATTTAAATCTTGATCAGGGAAGTTGTTATTAAGTAAGTTTAAATACTCCAATCCTTTGTCATTCCTAGGTAAAAATATTTTGTCAATCCTATTGTTATTAGCCGTGAGACTTACAAGATTTTTACAATTGCTTACGTCCAAACTAGTCAGGTCATTATTGGAACAATCTAATTCTTTTAATTTATTAAAACCATCGAATCGTAAGGAACCCTTTAATTTATTTTTGCTAATGTCTAATCTATCTAATCTGATAATATCTCGGTGACAATTTTTCTCTAACCATACTTGTGCATTTGTCGTCATTATATATAAGTTTTTGTTTATTTTTCTTTACAATATTTATGTTTGTTTGGTCTTTTTAAATAAATCAATATTAAAAAATGATTAACGTTTGAATTCAAAATTGAAAGATCAACATATCATATACTTTGATAGAATTAAAATGAAAAAAAATAAATTCAACCTTGGGCGCTATTTATAAAGACCATGAACCTTAATCAAAGGTTTCACAAATTTCGTAGGACCGAGCAATCTATAATTACCATAAAACCAAAATATAAAAGAGCAATTAAATTAGGTATTGATGTTACGAACGAATTCGTGTTCATTAAGAAACAAATTTTGCAGATTATTACTAATAAAATACTATTCATTGTAGTGATCGCTTTCTTTTTATAGTACAAATTAAGGTATAAGTTGAAAGGGACCGGATTCTTATGTCCGGCTTCTGGTAACAAATTTCAGATTAAATTAAGAAATATTTGTAAGAGATGTTTTTTGTTTGCTGCAATTTAGAAAATAAGATATTTTTTCCAATTTAATGTTTGTTTTTGCAACCTTGACACTACTATAATTATATATATAAGTTTTTTAAAATTTGTAAAATAACATTATTTCCCGGTTTCTCAATCGATCGTGTGAATTTTAATATTTTCTCAGGGTTATTTACGATACAATCGCACACTACACTAGATCAACGTGCGAAGAAAAAAAATAATTTAAATAAATCCTTGTCATACATACTTGAGTGATACAGAATTTTTAATTTCCGATTGAGATTTTCAGTTCGGAAATTAATCATGAAAATTTTTTTTATTGTTTAGTAAATCATGTAAGATAAGTTGTAAATTCATTTTCATACAACCTTAATAAATTTATGAAATGATTTAATCTGATAACAATCAAAATCTGTAAAATCCAAAATCTGAATTTTCTTAACGATCCATGATTAGTGATTTCTCAAAAAAAAAAACATTTACAGTATATTCGACTACTAATGTTCAAAATAGGGATTGGACCGGGTAGCTTTAGGTTAAAAGATGGTTGGATATACTCGGTATTAATTTATTAATTTCGTAATCCGGAATGATTTTTTAAATTGTGGAATAAAAAAAGTTGATGCTAACCGAATGCAAATTTGAGAAAATAATTAATGTGTAAATAAAATATTTATAGGCTGTACTGTAACTCAATTTGTTCCTATTCTATAACTATTTCAAACGGATTAAATCTTGAATCTTGATGTAGAAGACAGACGTAGAGGTTGGAACCGGTTAATTAACCGGTTAAAGAATTTATTAACCGGTTATTAACCGGTTAAGGATTTTTGGGTCTGTTCCAACCTCTAGACAGAAGATCAGGTTATTACAAAGAACCTGTTTAATGAACTAATTTCGGGAAGGGCAACCTGATGATCCAACCGTCAGGTGACTCGGGTCAGTTTTTTTTAGAAAGTAAAAAAAAATTTTTTTAGTAAAAACTTAAACGTATAAGATCATGTGACACACGATTTGACGACTTCACAAATTAATCCTATTCATAACTACCAACTTGGATTAATTCTCTATTTTAATACAATTTTCAAAAGGTATGTAATCTGAGAAGATCAAAGAGTAAGTGCGATTCGGATATCACGATAAACATTGGAAAGAGGCAGATGGTTCAAAATATCGAGGTTTGACAGTATAACTGTGCAATTATAAAATTAATGCATATTTAATTATTTATCCCTCGATTATTTATTTTGAACTTTATTTTTGCTGTATGATCTAAATATTATTTGTGTATAACATAGTCGTGGGTGGTTGTTGTACATAATGCATATTAGGTGTAAATAAGGAAGGATTTACAAAGTCATTATTATTATTATTATTATGATTATAGATAGGAGGATTAGGGTAAGTCATTTTCATCATTATCATTTTCTTTTTTCTTAATATCTTCCAAATAATTTACGTCTACGACATACTCTCTTAAAAATACTTCCAAGGCATCAACACGTTGTTGTAAGGCTGCATGCTCATCACGAGAAACGTCCCTAGAAAAAGAAGGTGGAGGTTTTTCGGAACTCGTAACTAGCGGAATTACCGGGAGAGTTTTTTTAAGTTTATTGTGTGTTTTATTACGTATCCCACAACAATAAAGTTGCACACAACCCCATGGACGTATCATGTCTACACCTATCAAGGGAAAAGAAAGAATCTCAAATATCAGAGGTGATCTTGACTTCTAGCTTTGATTTATTTTTTAAAAAATGGTAATTACCAAATAGGGCCGCGTAAAATGCCGTAGCAAGACTCCAAGCACCGCCCACAAGACCAAACACACTGAGTAACTTTTTTAATAGAAACAAAAGTTATTTAATTATGATTTAACTTTAAATTTAACTTGGAAAGCAATTACTTACAGTTCGTGTCCTATATTTGAACAATTATATTAATCGATTTGTTTTAATTTTTAATTCATACTTTGTCGGAAATAATTAACATACCTTTGTTCAGTCTCTCTTTTTATAATGAAATTTTGTACAGTTAAAGTAATCGAACTTACAAATAAATCACCAGCTTTATAATCAACGGGATAGCTTTCTTTACAAAAATAAAAATAGAATAAAATAAATTCTTACATCATGATATAATAAACTAAATAATATAATATTTACATACGTATATTATTGGGCAAAATATAACCTTGTCTATAATAAGATGGTTCGATTCCAAGATGATCTTTGAAGTTTGGAATGATTGTTTCTCTTATGATTCTAGTAAATTCTACAAGTGCCATCTTACATATTAAATATGAAACAACAAAATAATCATTAATCTATTTTTTTTTAAAAAAACAATAATAAAAATTATTACCTGATTTCTAGACATTAAATAAAGATTATTTGTGGAAAATTCTTTAACATATGCAGGTAATTTATCAACGATTGTTTCATTGGATTCACCTTCATATCTATATACTAAATAAAATATACACATTTATGTATTAATCGGAAAATTTTATTTTTAGAAAAAAAAAAAATTTTGAAAAAAATTAAGTTAATTTACAAGCATTAAATTTCATAAGGTCGTGACTTTCGGTGGCATTATAATTTGGATCAACAATTGATGCAACTACCATTACTCCTTTTATTGCATTTTCGTCAATTTCTGGTTTTACAAATGTTAAATTTTGGACATTTTTAAAATAGCCGATATAATTGTTGCTTTCTGAAGAAGCTTTTGGTTGTTCTAAATATTCTTTACAACTTTCATCAAATGTTATTTCTTTTATACTTCCTATATAACCAAAATATTTCGTTAAAATAACAAATTCAAAAAAAATAAATTTGGCTATTTTTCAATGCTTACTAATAAATAAGCATTGCAATATAAATGGATAGACGAAATGAAATTGCATATCTAAAGAAAAAAAAATCATTATTTTATAAAAAAGATTTTACAATGAAGTTACTTGCTTTTTCTATAGACATACCAGGAATTGGCATTTCCGTTGCTTCGAAGATTGTATTTGTTAAAACTGGCTCATCACTAGTCACTTCGATAATCAAAATAGTAATATATCCTGTGAGGGAAGATATTAATACTATCATAATAAATATTCTTAATAGAATAACAGATGAAGGTTCGGTCTTTCGATTACGAGTAAATAATTCATTAAAACGCATATTTTCTTTTGTAAATTCAAAAAAAAAAGAAAAAAAAGAAATTAAATTAAATTAAATTTCACGGATAGGAAAAATACATTATTTATATGGGGAGTGTATGCATTTTAGAGCGTTACACGATATATATTAGTGGTCATGCTAAAAACGCGCGATATTTAATGATCCAATTATTTTCGCCATCGGGGAAATTTAATTAATTCGCATTATATTAATGATAGCACAACATTGATCAAATCAATACAACGTACACTAATAGGTAGCTTTATTGAGAATGTTCGACCGATTTGGAAAAATGCTTGTGGTTTATACATAGTTAGTGATAGTTTAGTTTTGACGCATTAGTACTGCGCCAATTACAATTAGCGAATGACCACCACCCTGACGATCACTCTCTAATTTCTATCATTTCTCTAATTTCTCTTATTTCTATAATATCTTAGCGGTTTCTAATATATTTAATTTCTTATATTTATTACATTTCTTATATATATTTGATATCTATTTTCTATTGATGTATTTGATATAGATATCTTGTATTTCTGCCTTGATAAAAGGGCAGAGTCGCTACAATTCTCTAATAAATCAATAATGGTTTATTTCTAAAATTTATCTATGCTCATTAAACAATTCATTCTTCTTTAAATCTATATCGATAAAGATGACTTGACCCTTCAATTTAATTATTTGTGTTTATTTCCTCCATAGTTTAGATGCACTTAAACTCTCTGCTAGCAAATAATCTTTGTTAACTTAATGACGAACAGTTTAAACTTAATAACTAAAAATGGTGTAGTAATTGATTTCAAATTTACAAATTGTTGCAATATAAGCTAAAATTAGTTGCAACATATATAGGTTAAAACTAATTGCAACATAAGTTGCAACATTAAAAG